ATCAGTGCCTTACATATGCCACCTTCCTGATGCCACCTGCTTACATGCCCATTGGGGCTGCTACTGTGCTCCTATCAGCCAGCAAACAATCCAAAGAACCTCATCTAGATGGAACATTTCTTCTTTGGTAGTGTGAGGGCTAAAAATGGCTATTGGCTTACGGCTTGAAAAGTAAAGAGCTATCCATCCTTGTCCCACACCCCTGTCCCCCCTACATCCTGGAAAGCTAGGCCTTTCTACCAACAGGCAATTCCTGGCTGCTCCTCCCCAGTGGCTTCTCCACCTTTTCCACTGAGGGACCCCAGAGAGCCTGCTGCCAGGTCCACACATGTGTCTTCTGGTTACTAGATGTAACCAGCCAGCCATCTGGGTATCCAGGAGCCCTGTCAGCCAACGAGCAATTTCCCTCCTCGAATCCTAACTAAACCTAGATGCCTCTAGGCCATAGGTTCCTCTCTGGCTCAGTTTCCCCTCAGAAGTTGCCCTAGGTTCTTGACATTTCAATATTCTGCAAGAAAGAGCAGCGTGCTTCCCACTGACAACACCCTTTATTCACGGCAGTTCTATTTGTTCCTGGGGGACCAAAGTGAATCCAGGCTGAAATGGAACTTTCCTGCTGGCCCCGGGCCCCCATCAAGCCAATGGGAACCATCAATGAAGACACACGACCTCCCTCCTGACTCCTAGTCTATGTATGGGCCTCGACTGGATTCCACATGCCCTGAGAGGGCTCAGTTGTCCCCAAGTCACCATACCACCTAAGGTCGCAAGAACACCACCACCATCTGCAGACACAGCCTCAAGTCACTGGAGAGGAAGGCCCAAGGGGGGACACAAGAAGCCGCCGCAAAAGAATTATAGAGGGGGGCTGCTGTTGTGGGGGGCACTGGCCAGCAGCATGAGAATGCCCCACAACTACCTGCACAACAGACCTCCCTAGAGCCCCGCCTGAGAGTGAGTGGAGCTGGGGTCTGAGGGTCCTGAACGGGCCGCCCCCCAGTGAGCAAAGTGCTCTTCCCTGGACATCCACGTGCCTCATGCTTCCATCTCCTTTAGGGCTCTGCTCAACATCCCCCCGCAGGGAGGCCTTCCCTGACCATCCTACTTGACACAGCAAGTATTCGCCGCGCACTCCTCTGATTTACTTTTCTCTATGGCACCATCCCTGGCTGATTTAGTAAACATTTTACTTACGTTTATCCACTACATTGTAGGTTCCTCCGAGGCACCATTCTTGTCTCATTTTTTGACTGCCCTGTGGATACCTAGTGTCTGCAAACAGCACCTGGTACATACAGACGCTCAAAAGCATGTGCTGGATGTTGCTAACGAAAAAGCTGGACACTATTTGAAGACAGTAAAGATAGGTTTTATTCAGTATATACTACAAGAAGGGAAAGAGGCTTCAGCCGAGGACTGAGCTCAACTTCAGCCCGCGCAGAGGGGATGGCATTTTAAAGGAAGAATGAGGGAATAAAGAGAGGAACAAGCAGAGCTCACGCACGGTCAAGGAAGTGGAAAACTGAAAGCGGGCAGGGTGGTTGGCCAATGTCAGTGTGATCAGGCCACCCGTCCGCTATCGGGTACTTGTCAAAGTCACGCTCCTACCCTCCTGCAGAGACTGGGAGGCAGCGGCCTTATCCTTCCTAAGGATGACATCTCAAAGGAATGGCTTTCAGGTCCGTGACAGAGACACTCCTAGGTGGTAGGAAATACAGGGCACACAGATTTTAAAAGGCGGAAAATGATTTTAATCGTAAGTTTTTCTAATAAATGTTTAATAAAAGGGAAGTCAGGGTCCTATCATCAGGTGTTAGCAGCCTTAAGCTTTTCCAAACAGGAACTCAAGGGGCCCTGGGTCATCCAGGGGACATGGCCTTAGGCTGCCAGAAGCCAGGGGAGAGTTTTCAAGTCCCTTAGTGCAGAAGGTGGGGAACAGCTGAAAGTTGCAGCTCTTTTAGGCCAAGGTTGAAGCCCAGTCAGGAAGAAAAAGCACGCGAGCCGGACTACTTTGGTCAAGGAGAGCGTCTCTGTGGGTGGGTGGGTGGGTGGAAGGGATATGAGCCCGGTGGGAAAAAGGTGAAGTTGATAAAATCTGAAGACAGCCACATTCAGATATGATGTAAAAATCAATTCAGAGAAAAAGGGAAAACCCTCCGCTCCTTCCAAGCATTCCTGTGGTGGACATAAGACTCCCAATTACTCCTCAAAATGGCTAATAAGAACAAGTCGATGGCCCATCCTAGTCTTTCCCAACCTGCATGTGTTCCTGCAGGTCATCTTCCAGGCCTGCATTTGCCGTCTAAAATCCGTGTGGGAGACAGATCCTAAGGAGTTCACAGAAAGATCCCCTATGGAGCTGACACTCCGTTCCTGTTAACTTTTTACTAATGAAGCACCTTTTAGTAGTTAATGTTCTCTTCCTTTCCCCTTGGCAGCCTGCCTCTGAAATGTGGAAAAGCATTAACCCACTTTCCTCCCTTCCTGCCCCCCGGCTCAGTTTTTCTCCGCCTCCAGCTCACATGCAGAAGAACCAAAAAAGTCCTGTTCCTGCGAAATCACAAGGCAAAGAGTTGGTTTTGCAGGTATCCACCTGATTTCATTAGCTCCACACCGCCCTCGGTTACAGCAATTTGCATTTCTCAGCAGGTCAGCTACAATATTGCCCAGATTTTTTTTTTTATCTTTTCATAAGACTACACCCATTAAAATAAGAAAATGCATTTTTACAAGTTGGCGTTTGAATATAATTTGGAGAGAGGGCAGAATCAGGGTCTGTGCAGCTTTATGTTTATATATGGAAGGTAAGAGGGATGGAGAGAGTGTCCTCCTTATTGAAAAAGAATCCGAAATTACAAATACAAACTTAGGTATGACCATGTGAACACGTAGCTCGTGGCCTTCCCAGGGGCTTGGAAGAAGCCTGAGTGAGGGGCTATGCAGTTTAAGATTCATTAGCTTTCCAGTCAATGCACCTCTGCTGGGGGATATAAAAGACTTGAAAGGTTTATACCACAGCATTAAAATCTCTAGAAAACCACTAAGCATAACAGTCTTACATTATTACATCAATCCTCTAGATGCTATTCTTATCTCTCTTTCACAAACCTCCATCCCTGCTGTTCCCTCTAATTTGGCAGCAGCAATTCATTATCAAAGTGCATGTGGTGGGCCGGGCTTATGCATCCTTCCCCTATTTTGGCGTTAACAATCTAGTACTGTGTCAATTATGTAATAGCCAAAACAGGGAGTTAAATGGAGAACAAAAACCATAGTGGTAGTTCTTACATAAGCCTTCATAAACCACCCAAAAGACCTGCTCCCAGATTTGGATATTTGAAATTACATAAAGTAGACAGAAGATACTGATTCAGCAGCCAGGTTTATTTCTGACCTTAAAAACAATAGAAGCTCTTTGCACTTTATTTACTAGTTCATATGAACATAAGTTTTTAATTTGATGGGACAAATAATCTTTTGTGAGACTTGATTACCTTTCCCTGCAAACATAAAAGAATATTCTGATGCTACTACTTAGCTTCCCTGTTACCTATGCACAAAAGAAATGTCCCACTTGGGATGCCTCTACAGATGCTACATGGAATTACGGGTCCCTGACAAGTATCAACTGTTCTTTGCAGATTCAAAAAAATCAAGAGAGATGTTTTAGACAAAATGCAGAAGTGTGCATGCTATAATTCTTCAACACATCTCCTTTCCAATACCATTTTTCTCTCCCCATATTTCTAACCACCTATTTTTTTTAGTCACCTTAAACCACTGCAGCCACACCTTGAGCTACAAAGTAACAAATTAAAAGAAACAGTGCTGCCCAGTGAGCCTCACTCCTAGCTGCACATTGGAATTACCTAGGGAGCTTCTACATTACAAATGCCACAGCATCACCCAAAACCAATTAGAATATTGGGGTGGGAGGCACAAAAGGGGGTGCCTAGACATAAATATTTCTGATGCTTTCTACTTTGTCATCTTCTCACCTGGAAAAAAAAAACATAAATATGGACAGACGTTTTATGGAGGGATGGGGGGGCAGACGGGGGTGGGGCATAGATCTTTAATAACTGGCAGCTCATAATTATTAAATTTCCATCAGATATAAAAATAAAATCATTCAATAATTTGAAAGCCATAAAGGATATCTGCGGGGCCTTTTTTATTACTACCAATAGTCGAAGAATTTTTACCAAGTTCCTTAATAGCCTTTACAAAACCTATTTGCCCATGTTTTGCGATTCTACCTAATGAGGGCAGAAAACAGGGCCCTGTATTATCTTAAGGGCATTTCAAGCTAAGACCATGCTTATCTCCCAGTAAAGTTTGGATGAAAGCAGAAATTACGGTCCTGACTTATCTTCAACCTCTCTTCTTAGATGCTCTGGTAATCACTTTTATAACTTCACCGATGAGCAAATATTTTTTAACGCCACTTACATAACAGAGAGTACAGGCGCCTTTGGTATCCTGCCAAAAGTACTTCTTTCCGTGTTTGTATTTAAAATAGAATGGTAGTAACATCATTTGTGTGCCTGAAATTCCTTCTGTGCACAGTCTCAGAATGAAAAAAAAAATGGATGTAGCAAGCCGCTTCACTGCTTAACCATTATAAAGCTCAAAGGAAATCACACATTCACACTAAATTAAGACGAAGACACAGAACAAATCAAAGCCGGGGGTGGGGGGGTAGGCAGATGGGGGAAGGGAGCGACGAGGTTTAACTAACCTACCATCCCCTGTAAAAGAGAGGATGTTTAACCAGGCAGCCCCCGAAGGTGCCAAGTGGGCTGCAACACCTCCGCGCACGCAGGTGATGTGGAAGGAAAGTAAGCGCAACGATCACGGGGAAGCCAAGCCCTGCGCTGCCCCGAGTCCCCGCAGCAATCTCCCCCTAACTCCGTGCACCTGCCTCCCGGCGGGCTCCAAAAGGCAGGCGGGGCGCCCAGGCCGGCTCGGCTGGGCTCTGCACTGGAGGGTTCGCTCACCTGGCTGGGAAAGGGCCAAGAGAGGTGTCCAGGAGGCCACCACTGCCCTTAGCGAGACTGTCATCCCGGACCAGCTCGGGCACGCTTCCCCTCCTCCTCCTTCAGCTCGAGTTTTCTGTGTGCCGACGGGTCTGGGCTCTGCGGGCCGGCCGAGGATGCCCGCCAGCCGGGGGCCCGGCAAACTTGCCCGCAGAAGCCGACCGAGGCGGCGCGGGTGGGCGAGCCGGGGCCGCCCGGGCACCCTGCGCCCGCCCGCAGGCGCCGCCGCCCACGCCCGCCCACGCCGCCCGCACTCACCTCGCACAGGCACCGCCCAGGCCGCCGCCGCCGCCGCTCCGAGCGCGCGGGGGCGGCCGGTGCACGCGGCCGGGCGCCGCCGACAGCACGCCGAGGCGCCCCCTGGCCCGGCTGGGCGGCCGCCGCGGCCCCGCCGCCTCGCCCGGACAAAGACGAGCCTCGGGGCGGGCGGCGGCGAAGCCCGAGGCTCGGGGCGCGCCGCGCAGCCCGCGCGCCTGGCTCCGAGGTGCGGTCCGCCGCGACAGCGCCGGGCGGCGGGCAGGAGAGCGGCGCGCGTCTCCCCCGGCCGCCCCGAGACGCACACGCCTGGCCCCGGGCGCCTCCTCCCGGCCCCGCGGACCGCGGCCCCACCGCCGACGCGCCGCAGCGCCCTCTGCCGGCCGCGGGCCCTTCGTGCGCTCCCCGGCCGACGCGGACTCCGGCCCCAGGAGGGCCTTGGCGTGCAGGTGGCGGCGTCGCTGCGCCGCCGGGGTCCCCTCGCGTCCCTGCGACCCCGGGGCAGGGGCCTTCGAGGACTGGGATCTGCTGTTTGCCTCTTAGGACAGAAGAGGGAGCAGCTTTGCATGAGGGGGAGGAAGTAGGGATCGGCATTGGGAAGAACTTGCAGGGTGATTCACAGGGAGCCCAAAGTTGATCCCTGAAACTGTTTGCAAAATAGGCAGGTGTTTCTCCCTAGAATCAGATTTATTTCTGTTTAATAAACGCCAAATGTGCCTAAAACTGCTCGAGGGGTACTAGAGACCCTTGACCTCTCCTATGAATTCATTTAGGACTTCTCAGAGACCCTCCCAACCTACCTGAAATGCTCTGGGCTCCCCTGGGCAGTGCACCTAGGTTTGAAAAGCAAGCGAGATCAGAACTTGTGCTTCAGCGGGTTCAAACGGCAATGGAATTTACCATTTACCGTTATGAAACGACATGGTGGATACTGGTCCTTGGTCTGGTTAAGGTGTCATTTTTTTAAGGGGGAATCTTTTTTCGAACTACCATGCTAAGCTGTATTTATACCAGTTAATTTTTTAAACAAGCTGAACTACTTGGTGAAAGGAAATCGTGAAATAGCACCTTTTTTCCCCACACTGCTGTCTTTTAAAATTATTCTATCAGGTCTCCCTTCTCTGGAAAAATCTGGGGCAGATTTCATAGCTTTTCCTGTCACTTTCAGGTGTTAATAAACAGTCTGATTCTCTGGTACTAAAAAGTCCAGCCCCATCCAAATAAAAATTTCAGGGTCACTTCACTTAAGCCTTCCCCACTCCCCTCCCACCACCCCCAGCTCCCAGCCTGACTCAAACCCAGAAGCCTGTGGGGAAGGAAGCTTTCTATTCCTTCTTTCTGCCACCTCCTCCCAGCCAGCTCTGTAAAGACTGCTTCCTCCAGGGTGGCCCTGGTCCTAGCTTCCAGGACAGCTTCTCATCTGGTGGGACCCTCTGGGGTCACCACGCCCAGGCAGGCAGACCCAGCTACCTTCCATCAGACCCATGCTGACCCACAGAGAATGCTCACATTCCTGCCCACCCAGCTCTGGAAGCCACTGCGGTACACCGGCCTCTGTCCCTGGTTACAGGCAGCTCTGACCGGCCTCTCTCCTTGAAGCTGCTAATGTAGGAGTCAAGCAGCCATCTCTGGGTTCATGCATGTCCCCAGGCTCCATGCCAAGCTCTCTAAGCAGTTCTCTAGAAGCACACCTTTCTTTGTATAAAATGGTTGCAAGTCCCCCCCCCACTCACATCACCCTATACATTTTACTACAACCTTCTCCCTCAATCACTCCCCTCTTTCTTTAAATCTGGGCTAATGATAGCAGAATGCTTACTCAGCAAATCCTACAAAGATGGGACAAATTCTCTATTTAAAACATGAAGACACCTCTCTCTGTGGCAGCCATGGAAGTGTGTCACTCAAATCTCAAGCATAACTGCCTGACAGCCTCCAGCTGTCACACCTTGGAGCCACCACGGTGCTCACGCATACAGATGTTCCCAGCCCATGGCCGAGCACAGTGGGAGCACCAGAGCGGGACGATTTCCACATGATGGAGGACGCATCTCATGGGCAGCCCTGGTTCCAGGACTCCCCACCATCCTGCCGCCTTGTCTCAGGCCTGGACTGCAGCTGCAGCTCCCCCTACCCAGTCTCCCTCCTGCCCTTCTCCTTTCACAGGTGTCAGCCCTGCACTGTGGTCTGAAGGCCCTCCTCACATACCAACCTCCTGCCATCCCCATACAGGTGTTTTCTCAACATGTCTTTTGCATGTCTTGTTCTGTCCTGGCATCTGCCTCTCAGGAACCCAAACTGGCACAGTCACCTCTTATTCCCAGCAGTTATCCCAAGACAAGTCCCTCTTTAATATTTGCTTGTACTTGTATTCAGAAGCTGTGAAAAGAAGAGGAAAATGTTCTTTTGAGGGGAAAAAAATGATCGGCGGGTATCTTAGTATAGCCTCCCTTCCCCCAAAGAAGAACCTGATAGAAGGATTTGGATGCAGAGAGATTATTTCACCAGGTGAAATGCAGGAAGCAGGAGTGATGAACTGAAATATTGAGACAAGGAAGTATGACAGGTCAATATCAAGATGCGTTATCAAGGGCCCTGCTGTGCCAGTTGAGGGCCACAGGCCCTCAGTACCAATGAGATCTCCAAGAAGCCTACAGTAGTCCTCCCAGAATTGTCATTTCAAATACATGGGACTGAACAGTTACCTTCTAGCCCCTATCCTCTGAGGACTGAAATTGCCTTTGGGACTTTCACTCCCACTTCCGGGTACCCAGGGCTTTAGAAAAGATCCCGAGGCAGTAACACAGAGTGTTTCATGGCAGCATCCTTGAGGTGGAACCTTGTCAACTTGAATCCCAGCTCACAAGGTACATCCATCAGAGCTGTTGTTCAAGGCTAGCCAGGAGATGTGGTACATGCCCCAAAGGTGTCTGCTAAAGCAGGGCTCAGGAGTGTTCCCCCACTGCTTCAACAGACCGACGGACATGTAGGTAGGCAACAGGCACCCACCTTGCACAACCCCCAAGGGCTGAAGCACCAGTGGAAAAGGAGGAAGAAAGGGTAGGACAGGGTTTGTGATTTATGGGCGACGCTTGGCAGGAGACCCGTGTCCTACCCCATTCAGTTAAAACTACAATATACTGGGTAGCTTATAAACCACAGATATTTATTGCCCACAGTTCCAGGGCTTAGGAAGTCCAGGATCAAGGTGCTGACAGATTCGATGTCTATTGAGAGCCCCTTCCTGACTCGCAGCGCCCACCTTCTCACTGCGCCCTCCCAAGGCAGAGGCAGGGAGGGAGCCCTCTGGCATCTCATCCCAACCACGAGGCCTCCCTTCTCATGACCTAATCACCTCCCACCGGCCCCACTTTCTAATACCACCACGTTGGGTTAGATCTCAATACATGAATTCCAAGGGACACAAACATCCAGACCATAGCAACCGCTTTCCCACACATCAGAATATTACTAGAGGTCAGTGTGCAAGGAAGGGAATAATTAAACCGTGATTCAAGCCCAGCAACACCTCAGTCAAACCCGCGGGAGCTCTGGAGCACGTACGGAATGGTGTTCTGGAGCCTGCTTGAACCAACTCCCAAGGGCCAGTTGTTTGGTTTTTAGGAATTTTGTGAGCTGGTTGTTAAACACAGCCATGACTAAACATTAAATTATATAAACTTATGAAAATATGTAACATGTATACATGTTACAAAACAAATTAACACATGTGAAACCATCCCCCACCCAGTAACTGGCATCTATAAATGAACAACTCCTGTCCCCTTCCCTCCACCTCACTCCACCACCCCCAAGGTAACCTGCATCTGAATTTTATGCCCGTTATTCTCTTGTCTTTCTCTGAAACTCATTTTATTACATACATATATATAACAGAATGATGTGTATTCATCAGTCTGGTTTTTGAGCTTTAAAATGCTTCATGGGTATTGTAGTTAATGGGACTCTGTAACTTGCTGTTGTCACTCAACATTGTTTCTAAGAGTCACCCATATATGGCAGGTAATTGAAGGTTATTCTCACTGCTCTGTAATATTCCACCATGTTCTTCTTGGATTGTTTTCAGCTTTTGTTATCATAAATCCATATGAACATCTCACAAAAATCACCTTGTATATCAGAAAGTATTCAAGCTAATGCCAGATATTTTTCTAATGTGCTAATGGGAACATTGGCTATCCCAATGTACATTTCCACCAGCAATATATAAGGTGTCACATTTATCCTCATTCTGTCCCACATGGTCAGTCTTCTTAATTGTTGATAAGTAATGAGTAAATAATAAAATTTAAATATGGTCATACTTAGTATTCCCCTGACTACTAATGAAACAAAGCATCTCTTCTTATGGTTATGTGACATACACATTCTCTCTTTTGTGAAATACAAATTCACATGTTTGCCATTTTTCAATTGTGTTTAGTCCTCTGTCTTACAGATTTGTAGAAATCCTTACATATTCTGAATACTGATCCTTTGTGGATTATATACTTTGCAAATACATTCTCCAGTGAATGACTTGATTTTCCTTTGCCTTATGGTATTTTTGGAAGAAGAAATCTTCATTTTAAAGCAGTCAAATTTATCAGCGCTTTCTTTCATGACTTTCTGTGTCTTGTTTAATAAATTCTGAGATTAGAAAGATAATTTCCTACATTTTGTCCTAAAACTATTCAAGTTCTGCCTTTCACATATTAAGTACTGAATCAACTGGAATTGGCTTTTGTATTTTGTGTGAGATGGGAATCCAATTTCAATTTTGTCCATGTGGATTCTCAAATGTTTCAGAACCATTTGTTAAACAATTTATTTCCCCCCCACCACCAATTATCTGCCAGGCTGCTTCTGTCGCATATCAAAGTTCTGTAAGTACATGGGCTTCTTTCTGGACTCCTTATTTCATTCTACTGATCACTTTGTACACCCCTATGTCAACATCCAATAATA